GGGGGGGGGAGGACCTGCAAAATCCCCTTTTCCTTTGCAGCCTAACCTTCCCAGCACAGTCATTTCTCTTCCAGAGCTTTCTCACCTGTATTTCTGTATTGCCCAAATTAGAGAACAGAGAGGAAGGGAAAGGGAGAAAAGTTACACACGCACGTGCACACCACTCAGGGGTACCTGGCAATTTTTCAATAGCCCAGAAGGCTCCTGGATTGTGTTGAGATGAGTAATTTAGAAAAAGTGGTAGAATTTGACCCAGATCAAGTCTCAGGGAAAGCGAGCTAGGCAGCAAAGAGGCCCTTCAGGGTTAGAATTGGGGCACTTTCGCCCAATTCCTGGGCTTGGCGCGGCTGCTGGGTGCTCTTGAGAAGCCGGGCATCTGCCTGTGAGCGCACCAGGCCACGGGGGCGCGGGGGACAGCCCGATCCTAGTGCCACCTCTCGCAAGAGTCTGAGGCAGAGTCCCTTAAGTTCGCTTCCTGTCCCAAGGAACTTGGAGGCTGGCTGGCTTTGCGCCCGCAGGAGGGGCCGAACGCCAGCCCGGGGAAGCTCGGGCGAAGGGGAGCCCTGCGGACACGCATCCAGAGTCCCGCCCGCGGCGCGGCGCGAGCCGGGCAGCAATGTGGGCGCACTTAGAGTGGACGGCGTTCTGTCTGCAAACTTGGGCTGGCTGACGGACAAGAAAGCCACCCTTCCCCTTGCCCTTGCCCTCCCAGGTCCGCAGCACCTACACTGCGCCCTTGGTATCCGCACAGCCCACAGAACCCTGGTTCTAGAAAACACGCATCCAGAGACTCCGCGGAGAGAAAAAGACTCTGACCTCGAGAGCTGCTTTTACTCTTGCACTCAAGCTACTGTCCCCTTGTTTTCCCTCCTGTTCTCCTCCTACCACCCACGGTGCCCAATGTCTGATTTTAAAAGGCCACATTTGAATCAACCTGCAGCTCATTGGCTTGGCAATCCAGAGGCCTCCGAGTTGTAAATGCCAACACAGAGCGCGCAGGAAACGGGCTCATTTATTTTGTTCACACAACAAAAAATGTTAATTGATGTAAAGTTGCTTGGCACGTGGATAATTTAGTCTGACCTACATTTCAATTAAAAGGAAACTTATGTATGTTTCTGATGCTCATCTTTTGCAATTTGATTTTGTTTAGAGGCGCCCTTGTGCGGTTGACACCCCTCTAGCCGCCAAGCACATTTCATTAAAGGTTTTGCGCGGGATCGCG